GGCTTCCTTATATTGCTTTTAGAAAACGTTTGAGCAACAATTTAAATGAATGCATGAACACAGACTGCCTCCTGTGGGGCTGAAACGCTAAAGCATGCATCAGTGATAGATTGTTCTTCATAATTGATATAAAAAGCCACTTCTGTATGAACAGTATTGGCCAGGATATTATGACAAGATACCCACAGTTAGCAGAAAGCAGGGAGGAAAACTCTCTTCCTCCCATTATTTACATTCATGTTTGCATTTGACTGCACTTCCTATGGTAAGTCTAACCAGAAGAGATATAGTATTTAATTTTCAATCTTTTCTCCAATTAGAAAACTTACATATTATTTTCTCCTAATAATCTTTTATTTATATTTTTATTTTTTATGTTGGTCTGTGTTAACTAGACCATTGTAGGAATTTGAGGTGCTTGAGTGTACTGAGATAGACACAATGCTGTATCCCAAATGGTTCAAAACAAGGATTACAAAGAGTAAATGAAGCCCCAGATTCGATGTTTATGGTTGCAGGCATATTAATGTGCTACTGCTTTGACATGGCATCACTAAGTAGAATAAATGAAATAAAGTGAAATGCTTGACTTGCTTTGTTTTGTCGTCGTTTCAAATGTGTTTTTATGGTCCATTTACTTTGTAGCTATTCTATCTAGTTCTTTTTATTCTCTCCGAAACTGCATGCCACACTACAGTTTCTGGGCACAGTTAAATGCATTTAAAAAGATCTCAATTTTCCTAAAGAACACTGAAGCTCTTCAGCCTGCTCCCTTCCACGTTTCTCTCTTGAATGAGGATAGGTAATCTGTTTCCTGGAGGATGCAGCTGAGCTCTGCTCACAGCTCAGGCTCACGAGTCAGGCCTTTCATCTGGGCTCAAAGGTGGCAAGACTCTTCCTCTGCATGATCGCCCAGCCAGAGGCCTGAGGGCAGGTCACCCTCATGGAGGGAGCACCCCTTTTGATCCTGTAAATTCCAGCTTTTGTCCCTATAAATGCCAGGACAGTGACTGGGATGCTATGACAGTGTCAGGAGTGGGTTGGTGGCCATTGCAGAGTATGCTTTCCCACTGGCTGTGCCCAGCAGGCTGGCTGCTGCCAGCATCACCCTCAAATGCAGAAAACCCCACCAATGATCCGGGCTGTCAGCATGGCTACTGCCTGCCTGACCCTAAGGATTATTTGGGATTAAACCCTGCTCCGACTTGCCGTGGTCAGTCAGAGAGTGGGCCTGGTTGGCTGAGGGGAAGGTCAGGTTTCCTGCAGCACCTCAGAGGGCTGTGTGTTATCTGTTGGCATCACTGCGTCACACCCAAAGCGAACAGGAGTCAGCTGTTTCCTCTGCAGATCCCCTTTTCCCTTGAGTGCTGGTGCTATAAATAACTCAGTTTGGAAATCTGAGTGGAAAGAAATCAGATTGGAAAGACTGGAAAGAAATCAGATTGGAAAGAAAACCATGACTAACTTACCAAGCACTAAAATTTGCCTTTTGAAGATCTGTGTGCTAGGACATGATTGAGACAGGGCCAGAGAGGAGGCTATCTGAAGTCCTACACCATCCACTCTGGCTGAGTGGGAAATGTTTTCTCTTCTTCTAGGTGTGTGGGTAGGTGACCACTTCCAACAAAAGCTTTCACTTGCAGGGAAAGTTAAAATCAAGAATCAGGCCAGCCAAGCTACTCCATCCTTCTCCTGTCCCATGTGCAGTGCCCCAGAAGTTTGTCTCTGTCCTTCAGTATGCATTTATTTGTGAGCAATATATTGTGTAGGGTGGCTTGCTGTACAGCAGCTGTTCCCTTGCAGAGTGATGTGAAGAAAAAGTGGATATCTTATTGCTGGTACCTTGTGAGGGACTTCCTGGACACTGCGGTTTTAGAGTTAGCACTGGAGTACCAGCCTGACAACAGATCACACTAAAGTCCCTAAAATTTCAATATCATTTGCAGTCATAAATGTTTATGTCTAAATGTAACACTGCCTGGCACTTTATATAAACACCCAGCTGAACTCCTTGATGTCTGTGGGTAACAGAAACATTACTGTGCAAGTCTTACCTGCTCCTTTCTGTGTTGCAGGTCTGAAAGCTGACGATGAAATTGTGGAGATTAACAAGAAAGCTGCTGAGGATCTGGACTCAGCTTTGCTGAAAGATGCCCTTGTCCAGCCTTCACTGTGTCTTACCGTGCGCACCTATCCTGAGATAGAGGAAGGGCAGAAACTCACGCAGCCACCACCACGGCGCTTGGAAAACACAGCCGACTTGAGTGACAGCGCACTGGCATTTGCTGGGAGCAACCAAGGTATTGGGTTCAATGTAGAAAGTACCAGGAGGAGGATTCACGCTTACAGTGTGCTGGTGTGATGCCATTGATCCCTACATGTGACTTCCATAGTGGAAGTGAGAGGGATTGCAGTCTGAGTGTGCTGGGCAGATAATACGTGGGAGCTCTGGAAGCTGTAAGGTATAATCTGCGGTGGCAATGAAGGATGACTGTGTACACAGGCTGTAAAACGTGTGCTGTCGCCAAATGCGTGTCACATCATGTAGCTGTGCATACAGCGAGTCGCAGAACTAATTGCTCCCTTCTGGGCTGCTCAGGAGATGCCTTTACCTCTGGATTTGCCCACGGGATATATGTATGGCAGGGAAGGAATTGGGGAGAAGCATCTGCCCTCTCTGGGATTAGCCAGGAGCACAGGAGCCCTGAGTGTTTGATGAGACGCATGACTAACTCACAAGGACAGTTCAAAACACCTAATGGTAGGGATTGCCATTACAACCAAATGTGTTTAACTGGTCTCACAGCAACCTGCAGCGGAAGGGGCATTCCTGCCCACCATGCTGCTCTGTTCAGGGAGCTGAACTGGCAGAAAATCAATCCCTAGAAAATGTGAATTGTTTGCCACTAGTTTAGCTTCCCAAACCGGCTGTGGACAAGCACCCATGCTGGAATAAATGACTGCGGAAGAGCAGGATTGCTTCCTTGGTGGTTGCTAGTCATTTCCTCTGTAAGACAAGAGTGCTGTGAATTGCACTGGGATAGCAGGAAAGCTCCTGCACCATGGCTCCTCTTTCTTGCCTGCTTAGTCAAGTCTTAATTGCCGGCTTCTAAGCGACCTCCATACTCAGAAACAGAAAAAGATCCTGGACGTACCTACTCACTTTAGATTTCTGGTATAATTTAAAATACAGAAATAAATAATGGAATGGCCCAAAAGAAGTAGTTTCTAGACAATCAAACTATTCTGAGCTGAGGTAAACTTTGACTTCCAGCCAAAAGTAAATGGTGTCTGAATATTTTAAAATACTTTGTTTTCTCCCCAAAGTAAAGGTTTCAGAAATGTCAAAATAATTGTTTTGATAACCATGAAATGGTTTTGTTTTGGGCATTTGGAATAGAAAGCTGGAGCAGGAGCAGGGCTGTTAACGCAATTCACCGGGATTAGTCAGCCTTCTCCCAGGACATGTCTGATTGCTGCAGTCACTCAGTGTACGGGCTTCTGGGATGAATCTGGGTGCAAACTGGAGCTAAGCCAGGAGCGGTGTGAGTGCATTACCTTGATGCTGAGCTTGAGCAAATGACCCACAGTGAAAAACAGCTTGCTTGGGCTCAGAACCAAGCTGACTCATCTCTGCCTGCAAAGGGTCAGGGAGGTACAGCCAACGTTTTTGGATGGAGCTCTGGTTTTGTTTAAAATGTTTACTAAAAGTGATCTAGCAAAAATGTCGTTGTCCAGGTGAAGGAAAGATGTAGTGGGGAAAGGGAAAGCTGGACCCTTAGTCTGACTTTGGGGAGTGTGGTATTCATAGCAAGTGGAACAGCGTGAACAAGAAAGCTTAAGAACAGCTTATTGTGCATACCTCTGAGGGTACTGATGAAAGCAACCTCATGTAAGATGTGGTATAAACCCCTAAAGGCAGTTAAAATTAAACATTTTCAGAAGGACATTTTCCCCTTTTAATGTTCATTGAACTTTTTCCAGTTAAGCTTTTGTGCTGAAAAAATCAAGTTCATCTTGTACATTTTCATGGTTGGCCACAAGATGCCCCCATTTCCTACTTAACACCAGCCCCTTGCGTGCCCCATCCTTTTGTCCTCACGTGTGATTTTCACTGAAACCCCAAGTGCTGAGTCCTCGCACTCCGACTTTTCACTGAAGTGTGTGTCTGCCCTGCGTGCAAAGAGTTGGGAACTGAGGGTTTTATATGTACGCAACACAGTGATTTCTGTGGTAGAGCAGTCACTTTTTGTAACACAGGGCCTCGGCAGCTGCTCTCAACAATTAGTTTCTCTGCCGCTGTCAGTTGTCTGCATCATTATTCTGAGGGTCTTCAAGGGATCTTTGCCTTGGTGAGGGTGAGACAGTGCAGGGTTTGCCAAATGTGTCTGAAGAGGCCAGCGTTCGCCTTTTAATATTGCCCTGAAATAACGCTGTGTGCACCATGTGAAATGAAGACGTAAGACGTGGCTGGTGGACATATCACGGCAAAATCAGACCTCCCCCCTCCACGGCTTTGTAGACGTGACTTCCTTTGTGCCGCTTTCAACTCAGGCCATGTCTGTCCTCCTTTGTAAGCTTCTCCCAGACTGAGTTTTTGTGGTTATCGTGGTGGTGTGGAATGGCTGCTTGTTTTCCCGTGTCCTGCAGTGAGCATGTGAACTGCTTCTGAAATAGCTCCCCAGGACTGGGGCTAAGCTTCGGGGCTTCCTTTTCCCTCCAGATTTCTCTCAGTACAGCTGCCCTTCACTTTTGGTGTGCTGTAGTCAGCTCCCTTGCTCTCTCTTTCAGGCGACAGGCAGCAGAGAAGCAAGAGCTCCCTTGACATTTGCTTTCCTTCAAAATGCAGCAGATGTTGAAGTGGGGATCACCCTCATTCCTCCTCAAAGGAGAAGGAATACTTCTCAAAGTGGGAGGAATACTTCTTTAACCAACAGAAGCAATGCAGTAGTTCATCAGTGGATGTGCAGGTGTCTCCGGCAGCTTCTGAAAGGGCCTGTAGTTGCCATATGAAATATGCCATTAAGATGGTGTTTAAAGCTGAACAACGCCACTGCTCCAATTTGGGATGACTTAGCCTGAGGTGGGAGTGAAATCAAGGATCTGCACCCAAATGTGCAATCAGGAGAATGGTGTTTTGATCTTCCCCATCAATTTCTCTCTATTCCGGTGTTTGCAGAACACAGTGTTTTACTGAAGCCTTTCTTCTTCTGGCCCTGTGCTTTTTCAGGGATTCTTTGACTAAAATGGCATCCACATAAAATTTTAAAAAGTGACATATGCTTTTATTTGGGAGATTGCGGCTGTATGGTAGATTTTTGATCTCGGCTCCACAGCTTCTTGTAGAGAGCAGTCGAGTATGAAATACCCACTGACCTATTTATTTGTGTCCTTGTTGATTACTGGCAGTTTGGCTTGCTAGGCAAATCAGCTCAGTGATTTCTGTTATATGCTTTATTTATAGCATGCAGATTTTTTCTTCGGTCCTGAAGTAATGTAGCTCTGCTTTCAGCAGGGGGGTGAAACACTGCTGGGCCAGAATGCCAGCAGGTATAAATCACCTGTAGGCACATCCATTCTCCAGAAATTCAGAGTCTGGTTGACTGATTGTACTGTTGTCCTATCATCATTATCTTCACTAGCAATTCTTCATCGGCTATGAAGACAGCAAAGGGTAGAGTTTTTGTGTGAGGTAAAACACATTGTGTGTTTTCAACAGAAAGGCGCTATGTTACACTTTTTTTTAAGGAAGCTTTCCTAATGCGTTATTACTCAGTGGGAGGTCTTCCAGGAGCAATGTGGGGCTGCATTTCTGGGAGTTGACCTCCCTGAAGTGGCTGGCACGCTGCTGTTAAACACAATGTCTCTTACAGCTGTTTCATTATCTGGAACTACCTTGTATACACTGAGGTGGGGATAGAGCTGCAAATCAGCTCTGTGGCAGTGGTTACTTCATTGTGTTTACTTAACAGGTTATTCTCACAATGATATTGGATTTTATATCCCTAATTGATGTGGAAAATATCATCTTGGGTATGATATATACTTGCCCCTAGGAATTCGCGCTGCATTAGGCTTGCAGAGCCACAAGTTTTGTTCCTTTCATCTATTATTGTTTTTCCTGGCTTTCAGTCTTTTCTCCTGCTAACGCAGGCTGCATAAATCTGGTTGAGGAGGACTAGCTCCCATTCTGTCTGGAGCCCCACAGCATGTTTTCCTTATTGCGTAAAAGGATCAGTGAGAGCTGTCTCCCTTCCCCATGAGGAGTGTTTTGTCTCCCCAGTCTGCTCCACTACTGGAAATGCAGCCTTGCATCTCTCCAAAATCATAAAGAAGATATTTTGTTATGAGAAGGGGTTTTGGGAGTGGGAGTGGGGAGCAGTATCCGTATTTGTTTGTGGTATCTCCACAGTTCAATACTTTTTTTTACTCTGTGGCGGAGTTTCTGAGGTTTAGGCTTTGTATGCTTCTGTATTTTGGAAACCTCTAGCATGAGGGATAACTCTGCAGGGATAACTGTGAGCCATATAAATCACCACACAGAATGTATAAATGATAAAAAAAAGTATAGCCCTGTTTTGAATAGGTATATTAATCTGAATATATTAAGACTAACATGAAGCAGCTAGGTATTTTTAAGGAGTCTATTATTTCTTCATTCAGAAAGCAGGAGAACCAGAGGCTGAAGTTCACATATACTCTAATTTAGACTATGGTATAAAACTGAAACAAACTTTCATTGCATCGTAAGAATGGCCACTGCTTTTCATTCCATCCTCATCCTATCACAGGTCCCCTTAGGCTAAGTAATTTGGATTTCAAAACAAGCTGAGACTAACAGTAACCTTAATTTCTTCAGGGTTATTTTCCTGAGGCAAACAACTGATTTCATACATTTTGTAGCATGTTAAAAAAAATTGTTATCATTCAGTGCTTGATTTAACAATTCCACGGGCACTTACTGCAGCAGCAATTTGAGGGTCTTGCATATAATTAATCAGAGACAAGCAGAACTGTTATTCACGAGATCTATTTTCTAAAAGCTGGAAAGCCAAAGCTCAAGGATGCTGCCTCAGTCAGAACTGCATTCAGATGTCTCATTCCTGGCTTTTCTAAAGTCTACCTGAGGTGATTCTGAAATAACCAGTGTGGCTATTAGCACCTTAGTTTTGGCATTGTGGCTTTGGGTGCCTGACCCTTCCCGTTTTAGCTGCATTAAGCACGCCTGCTGCCTTACCCACCGATGTCTGATCCTAATATTCTTGCTGTGCTGCTGCTCCCTCTGCCGGCTCCGTGGAGC